TTCTGGTCTGCCCAACTCTTGAGCCTGTCCAGATCCGCCTGTATCTGCAACCTATCTTCTGGGGTGGCTGCACTTCCTCATAACTTGGTGTCATCCGCAAACTTGGCCAGCGAGCTTTTCACTCTCCCCTCCAAAGCATTTACAAAGATGTTGAAAAGCACCAGTCCAAGCACAGACCCCTGAGGGAGGGGCACCACTGGCCACTTCACGCCAGGATGACACAGATCTGTTCATGAGGACTCTCTGGGTCCTATCCTGTAGTCAGTTTCCCACCCATTGAACCGTCAAGCAGCTGAGCCCACAATCTTCCAGTTTTCCCACAAGGATATCGTGGGATACTAGATCAAAAGCCTTTTGGAAGTCTAGGTATATAACGTCTACCTCATCTCCCATGTCCAGGTGACAAGAGACCTGATCGTAGAAGATGAGATTGGTAAGACAAGACCTACCCATGACAAAGCCATGCTGGCTGTCATTCAGATTCTTACCTTCCACAAGTATATCGCACATAGATTCTTTAATGAGCTTTTCCAGAATTTTCCCTGGGATAGAGGTTAGGCTGATTGGCCTATAGTTGCCCGGGTCCTCTCTCCTCCCCTTCTTGAAGACGGGCACAATGTTGGCCCTCTTCCAGTCCTCAGGGATTTTCCCCATGTGCCACAAATTCTGAAAGAGCTTTGCCAGGGGTTCCACGATGACCTCAGCCAGCTTCTTCGGCACTCTCGGATGAAGTCTATCCGGTCCTGCTGACTTATAAATATCTAGCTTTTCTAGTTGGTATTGCACCTGCTCAGCATCCACAGTGGGGAGGCTCCCATTCCCAGCATGCCCCCTATAAGCCTTATATCGCTTGACTTTCCCCTTGGTCCAGTGAAATACTGAAACAAAATGGACATTCAGGAGTTCATTTTTGTCCTGAATGTCAGTTACCAGCTGCCCTGAGGTGTTAAGCAGGGGTCCCACACTTCCATTTGTTTTCCTTCTATTGCCTACATACCTAAAGAAGGACTTCTTACTGTCCTTGATTCCCATGGCTGACCTAAACTCAGTCACCACCTTGGCTTCCCTACAAGTGCTGGCCACTGTTGTATAATCCTCAAGGAAGACTGTTGTATAGTCCTCAAGGAGGACCACCGCTAGCTTCCACTGTGCATATACTTCTTTTTTCTTTTTTAAGAGGACCGCAATGTCCCTATTAAGCCAGGAGGGCTTGTCAGCCCTTCTGCTTCCTTTCCTCTTTGCAGGAACAGTTTTCTTTTGTGCTTTGAGGATCATATCCTTGAGCAACGACCACTCTTCGTGCACCCCATTCGCCTTCCCTTCCTGGTCCCGCATCGCCTCCCCTACTAATGCTCTGAGCCTGTTGAAGTCAGCATTTTTGAAGTCCAGGATTTCGATCCTGCTGGTTGATTTGTTGACCTTGTAGCAGATGATGAACCTGATCATTTCATAGTCACTGTCATCCAGGTTACCCTCAATGTTCAAGCCACACACCAGATCATCTTCTTTGGCCAAGACCAAGTCTAGGAGAGCATTACCTCTGATTGGCCCTTGCACTTCCTGGGTCAGAAATTGCTCCTCAATCACAGTTAGGAAACTGCATGAATGATCGGATCTAGCCAAGTGTTCCTCCCAATCTATGTCCAGGTAATTGAAGTCACGCATGACAAAAAAGTCCCTTGCACACATGGCCTCTGTCAGTTCTCGAGAGAACTCCAGATCCAGCTCCTCTCCTTGGTTTGGGGGCCTGCAGTAAATGCCTAGTTAGGTTTCTCTCACCTTGCCCCCCCGCTTTAACCCTCCACGCCCTCCCTCATAGCTTGACCCAGAGGGTTTCAAGCTGCTTATCTCTGGAGCAAATGTCAGCCTCCAGAGAGGTGTACTGCCCTCATATATAGAGCTACACCTCTGCCTTTTCTCCCACTCTGTCCCTTCTGTGCAGGGTGTAACCCTCTACAGCTCTCTCACTCCATCCTCATCAATAAATTAAGTGACTGCGGCATTGATGCCTGCACAGTTGGATGGGTAAAAAATTGGCTGATGGGGTGCACCCAGAGAGTAGTGGTGGACGGGTTGTACTCAACTTGGCGAGATGTGAGCAGCGGGGTACCCCAAAGTTTGGTCCTCAGGCCCGCACTGTTTAACATCTTCATCAGCGACTTGGATGAGGGGGTGGAAAGCACGCTGTCCAAGTTTGCTGATGACACTAAGATGTGGGGCGAGGTGGACACACTTGAAGGGAGAGAGAGGCTGCAACTAGATTTAGACAGACTACAAAAGTGGGCAGACAAGAATAGGATGGGGTTCAACGTAGACAAATGCAG